AAATCATGTCAGTGTAATCTTCCCCTTCAATCACAGGGATGCAAATGAAAAATGGATATGTTTACCATGGTGCTAATGTCAAAAACACATATTTGAATTTCCCTTTCTATAAACAGGAATAAACAAATCAATGCCTTATTTCAAACAATAAAGAAACAAAAAAGGATCATAAATTGACATATTGACATTGATTAAGATCATGGGACTTTATAGCTCGGAGAAACAAAATACATACTTTGCAGAGATTTTAAGCCACCGGGAGTGAAAAATCAGATGGAAACTTATTTTTCTTTTCAGGGGTTTTAGGCGATGTAGTTTGGAACCGCAAGGGCTTTGTGCCACTTTCAGGCAACACTTTGCCCATTCCTGCTTTACACAGAGAGTAATACTACATATGTCTGTGTCAAACCTTATTCACACAGCTACTAAAAGTTGAGCATCATGCCTGAATGTTAGAAAGTCCTTGGAAAGGACCTTCCATCTAATATTTATCAAAATAATAGTTCCAGACAAAAGCATTATGGAAATTGGAGATATATGAGTCCTGTTTATTTGCATAGACTGAATATACTGTTCATTAGATAATTCTCAGTGCATCAAAACCTACACCGCAGATCTGCTCTTTGCATTTGCCATCTCATCCCAGAAACTTTCTTCAAGCAACTGATACTCACTTTAAAAAAAGCAGGATTTTCTAGTCTACAGATATGTTGTCTGTCAAGTTCCTTGCCTTTCTGGTAGCTCTGGTTGACTTGGTCACTGCTGGGCTCATCTCCAATGGCTTCATACTCAAAGTGATTGTTGTTGAATGGGCTTCAAGCAGGAGCCTTGCCTCCAATGAGCAACTCCTTCTGAGTCTGGGGATATCCAACATCTGTATTGCAACTGCTTTGGCTGCAGCTTTGCTGAAGAACTACTTTGTGATCAGCAACAATGTCGTGCTACAAGTAATGTACACCTTTGTTAGTGTTTTAACATTTTTCAGATTCTGGAACACTGCCTGGATCTCTTTCTTCCACTGCATCAAGATCGTGAACAGTTCTTGCTCTTTTTTCCTTTGGTGCAAGCTGAGGATATCATGGCTAATACCCCGGCTTCTTTTGGGGTCTTTAGCCGTGTCCTTAGCTGTTTTTATTTTTGCTTTCCAGAATACTCTTATATATCACCTAAACCACGGAACTACAAAGGGGATTGACATGAGTCAAGTTAAAATAGCTCATGCCGATTCTTTTAAATCCTTTTTTATGTTGTTTGGCTCTGCTTGTCCCCTTCTTGTTGTTTTACTTTGCTCCATCCTAGTTGTTGCCTCACTCTTGAGACACAACTGCCGAATGACAGGCAAAGGAAACAATCTGACGAGCCTTCAAACAAAAGTTCATATCAAGGCAGCTGGGACAATCCTCTCCCTCTTACTTCTTTATGTTTTATTTTACACTGCACAGATCGTGTTATTTATGAAAGAGTTAAGAGGATTCAAATGGACCTTGGTTATACTAGTAAAGCTGACAAATGGCTCTATGCAAGCAGTCATCCTCATACTGGGCAACTCCAAATTGAAGCAGGCAGCTACGAAAATGCTTCAAAGACCAACATTCTGGAGGACTAAATGAGCTTTTATACTGGGTGGGAATGTAGTCATATTCAATTAGCCTGTGTATGAAGAAAGTCCACACCAACAGAATAATTAATCTTTACTTCGATTCTGATCCTGTTGGAATACATGGTGTTCACTGTCAATTTTTGTTATTATGGGTGTATTGTTATCATGTTCAGGCATTGAATGTTTTCCTTTTACGTTTGGAATCTGCCCTGAGTTTCTCTGGGGAGATAGGGCAGAATATAAATAAAGTTTTGTTATTATTACTCATTTGCTTTTGAAAGGAAAGTACTTCTTCTTAGATACTTGAAATATTTAATGCAGCATTTAAACACCTACTACAGTTTCCAGGAAAATTGTTTTTTTAAAAATATGTGGTCTGCATCCTGAATTGAGATCAGGTTGGAATTGAGGGTGGGTAGTAGATTTGTGAGATAGGTTGACGGGTGATTACCTAGGCACAGAAAGCATGGTATTGACTTGGTGTATACATACATACACTGAATAATTACGAGTTGTTATTATTCAGTGTATGCATGTATGCAGATTTCCACATATTTGAAGATCTGTGTGGACACCTCTGTTTCAGAAGTTCTACAAGTCTTCAGATATTTTATTAAATGTTATTGAATACAGTAGACCATCCACATTTGTAGGAATAGGGGGCTCCTGGCTGGGTTTCTGAGATGGAGGGAGCAAGACAGTGAGATGGAAGAGGCTGTGAGCTTTCACCCTCTTGTTTTGGAAACAGAAATCTTGGCAAAGTTACAGGAGACAAGTGGATCAGTGGAGAAGGCAAATGAAAGGACTGAGTTCACTGTTTCCAGGTTGGGGGTTTGTAGGAGACAGCATTCAAGGGGGGATGGAGGACTTCCTGGCCTGTGGCAATGGAAGCAGCTCCTCTTAAGTCTTGAGCTTCTGCAGAGCAATGCAAGACAAGCCTCAAGGAGAGTAAGATGGGCTGCTGGGGAATCAGAATAAAGGTAAAAAGAGGAGAGGAAAATGGAGGAGGAGCATCCAAATGTGCAGTAGCTGTGAAGGTGAACTGGGGACAGTTTCAGTGGTTTCCTTTGACAAGTTTGTTTTTAGATAAGCTCTCACAAGGATTGAGCTGGGTGTCACAAACCAATGCCCTGTTTCATTGATCACCCTCAACCTAATTTTGATAGGCACTCTCCCACAACCTGATAGGAAAATCAGGGGAGAGAGGAGCAACATCATAGACTTTGGTCTCTGAAGCCTGGGCAATAGAGAGGATTGAGCTAGGTAGCAACAAAACTCGAGGACTGCTTTGTTCCAATGATAATTCTACATGTGGAAGTGAGAAATGAATTTCTCCAAAAACCCATTGGTAAATCAGAAAGCGAGACCTAAGCTCTCTCCTCCGCCACTTTCCCTATGTTGCGCCCACATCTGCCCCGGAGACCATGCAACATCTGACCAGCCTCCTCTTGCTTCCCCATCCCATTCCCTTCCTCCCTCTCACCCAAAGTGAGGAAGAAATTAATTCCTCGTCATGTCCTCTGTGAAATGCGCACCTATGGGTTTTCCTGTGTGCCTGTGCAGCAATCCGGAACATTCTAGAGATTTAATGAATTTTTAAATTATTTTTGAGACAATATAGGCCCTGCCCCCCCCCCCCCCCCCCCCGGTATATAAGCCACTAGGCGTGGCTTGGCCGCTAGTTCCCTTTTCCGTGCCAAACTAGCAGCATCTAAGAACTTCGCTCTCTTGTGCTTTACTGGACTTCCATATCGATTACCTACCTTCTCCAATCCTGACCACGGACCGGCTGACGACTCTCTTCTCTCAGACAGGCTACAATGTCTTCCCTTTATTTTAAAAACTGCTCAGCCTGTGGAGCTAATCTCCCAGAAGCTGATAGGCATACTAAATGCCTTCTTTGTTTGGGAGAATCCCATAACTTATAAACTTGGGAAATATGCCTGAGCTTCACTACCAGAGCTCGCAAAGGCAGGGACGCCCGACTGAAAGCCCTCCTATATGAGCGTGCTTTACCACCCCAACCGACTCCCGTCCCCAGCCAATCCTCCCCTTTACAACAACTTCCTTAGCCTCCCTCCCCACGTGCTGGGGATAGGCGTGACTCTCCCTTGGTAAGTGCTTCCTCAGCGAAGCTGCCAAAAAAGAAACAAAAAACATCCAAACAGACCGCGAGGTCTTCAAAATCTAAAGAAAAATCAAATAGACAAAAAAAGAGATGGCAACTCACTCGTGTTCAGCCCTTGAGTCCTCCTACACTGGAATCGATGCCCCAACCTCACGGTTCTACGCTCCAACTCCAGGAGTCTCTGCCCACGTTACTTGAGATGGAGGATACCCCTCAACTTCCCCCCCTTGAGCTTTTAGATTCTCACATTGTGTTGGAAGCCTATCCCACTGCCGACCCTTTGGTCTCTCCTCCTCCTCTTCCCCTTCCCAATCCTCCCCACCTCCTTCTCCAAACATGCCTGAGTCCCCGGTACTGCGGGAGACTCCTCCCCCTGCTCAATCCATGCCTCCTGTGCAGCCCTCTCGGTGGTGCCATCGCTCTCTGTCCCCTGAGTCGGATTATCCCCCAACTCCCTCCCTTCACCCCTCCAAAAAGACCCGCTCTCTCTCCCCAGAACATTATTATCCCTATCAAGAATACCCTTATCATCTTTCTCCCCCCACCATACCCCATATACCCTTCTTTTACCCTCCTCCTCCTGATCATACCAAAGGATTCAATGCCCCCCACCCACTTGATCCTAGATATCCACAGCTACGCCGTGCACCTCCTACTGCCACACTCTCTCAGACTTCAGAACAGCATACTGATGCAAATCTTCAACCACCGCTCTTGGATCCACCCCTCTCACACCAGACTCAGAAACTATTGATTTGCTGTCCACAGATGATACAACTATCCCTGAGGACCCCCACCCAGACCCTGATCCCTCCCGTCAACAATTAGAAGACTTTAAAAAATTCTCACCCCTTTTAATAAGACTCTCCAGAGCCTTGAATCTCTCCACACCTCAACCAACAGACACAGTTTCAGATCCATGCTTCACCTCTGTAGAACAACAAACACCTACATCCACTATGTTGCCCACTTTGCCTTACTTACTTAAAATCCTTAAAAATACAGGATTTGCTCCAGCTATGGTTCCAGCAACCCACAAAAGAGCAGAGAACTTGTACCGTATTGATCTTTCCTCAGCTTCATGGCTATCTAAGATGCCTAAAGCAAACTCTGTAGTAACTGATGCCCAACCAAAACCTGTACAAAGGAACCAAACTTCTCCTTCTGACAAAGAAGGAAAAAAATTGGATTCCATGGCAAGAAAATTATATTCCTCAGCATGCCGTTTTGCACGCATGGCTCACTATGGAGTTTATATGAGTGTTTACCAAACCTTCTTGTGGAACAAAATTTCCCCTTATCTAGACTTACTACCTCCATCTGAACAACCTCTAGCTAAAGCTTTTAAACAAGAAGCTTTACTCTTATCACACCTACAAAAAGACCTTGCAAAGCATACAGCCGATACTTCAGGCAAGCTTATAGCAGGCTTGGTGGCCTTTCGCAGGCATGCTTGGCTTAGAGCTGCCATTCTCTCACAGTCTCAGAGAACCCTTATTGAAGACCTCCCTATGGATGAGGGAGGATTATTTAACCCTGAAACTGACTCACAATTAGAGCACTCACACAAGATGAAACAGTTAATAAGTATGACCAACAGCCATACACCTACCAATGCCTACGTTGGGGCTCCTATTACTACCTACCCCAATACTACAACAGACCTTTCAACACCTCCTTCTATAGAGGACGGCAGAGACCATATGCTCCATCTACAGCTGTGAGACATTCCCCACTTCCCTCCAGAGGTCAGTACCATGGTACGAGACCCACAAACAACAACAAACATCATTTTTAGCACAACCTTCCCTTCCCTCCCCCCCTCCCCCTACTTACCACACTACATCTTATATACCTAGACAGACTACATCATTTTCTACCAGTTTGGCAATCTATCACAACAGACACCTGGGTACTGGATATCATCGACAGGGGATATGCGATAGAATTTGACACCTACCCTCCTGTAGGGCATATCCTCCTTACCCAACCTTCCCATGCTGTCTGGGAAGAAATAAATTCTCTACTTCACAAAGGAGTTATCTCTCCCACCCCCTGCCAAGAAGCCAATACCTGCTTCTTCTCCCGATCCTTTTTGGTAGACAAAAGAGATGGAGGACTACGTCCCATTCTCGATCTTCGCAGACTCAACACCTTCATCACACCACGTAAATTCCGCATGGTCTCCCTAACATACTCCCCTTCATTACAGAAGGATCCTGGTTAGCAACGGTGAATTTGAAAGATGCTTATTTTCACATCTCAATTAGACAATCACACCGCAGATTCCTCACCTTTGCAATACAACATAACCATTTTTCATTCAACTCCCTTCCGTTTGGCCTATCAACAGCTCCCAGGGTGTTTACAAAATGCATGGCAGTTATAGCTGCACATCTCCGCCAACAGGGGATTACGGTCTTCCCGTATCTTGATGATTGGTCACTGTGTTCTTCCTCCAAATCGCAATTGAATAGTGACATTCACTACACCTTATCTCTCCTACAGGACCTTGGTCTGGTCATAAACCAAGAAAAATCTCTTCTCCGTCCAACACAACGCATCCAGTTTATAGGAGCTGTCATAGACTCTACACTACAGAGAGCCTTCCTCCCAGAAGACCGCTTCTCCAACCTCCGACGAGCCATCCTTGACCTCCAACAATCCCAGCAAGCCTCAGCCTGGGCCATCCAATCTATCCTTGGCCATATGTCTTCTACCACAAACGTCACTCCATACGCCTGCCTTCGGATGAGACTCCTTCAAAACTGGTTCATCAGATCATTCAACCCCCTTCACGACCCTCAGTCATGAACCCTACATCTGCCCCTCAGTGTCCTCCAATCCCTCACATGGTGGACAAAGGAGTACATTGTTCAATCGGGAATGCCATTCAACCAACCCCGCCCCTCCATGTCCCTCACAACAGATACCTCCAACTCAGGTTGGGGCGCACACCTCAAAGGTTTCAAAGTCAGCGGCCATTGGTCCCCTCAGGGCTGCCGTTTCCACATCAATGCTCTTGAGCTGATGGCGGTAGA